CACACACACACACACACACACACAGAGAGAGAGAGAGAGAGAGAGAGAGAGAGAGAGAGAGAGAGAGAGAGAGAGAGAGCCATTAGGAATTGGGGGTGTAGCCTGGTGGTAGAGCTCATGCTTAGCGTGTGCAAGGCTGGATCTATCACCAGTACCACAAAGAATAGAGGATGAAAAGAAGTTGCTTGAGTTGCTTGGAAATGTAAGGAAAAATAAGGCAAGGGTATGCCAAGGATACCATGTTTGATCAGAGCGTTGACGTATATGAGGGAGCAGGTCATGAGTGGGCTAGGTAGGAGCGTGTTCTGGGCAGAGAAAGCGTGTTCAAAGGACCTGAGGTGGGAGGAGCGTGCCGGGCGAGGCAAGAGGCCAGGAGCCGGGTCTGGGAGAGGAGATGGAATCCTGTATGGCCTGTGGCTGTTGTGTTTGAAAGGACTAATTGAGATGGGAAGCCATTGGGCTGGAGAGCTTGAACCAGACTCCCCAGACTCCTTTCTGCCTTGGTCTCTAGATTTGCCTCAGGAAGTAGGTCTGTGCTAACAGGCTCCCTAGCTGAGTGTGCTGCGTTTGAGCCATGAAATACTGCTAGGGGACGCACTCTGCAGTGGTGTGGGCTGGTTTCCCTGGATGTAAGGTTGTACTGTCCAGGTGCCTTCTCCACGTAGATCCTGACTCTCTCTCTCTTATCTCCTTCCCTTCCCATCTTCAGACTGGGTAGCTGCTAGGACCCTAGAGCAGTGATGCAATGATTTATCAGCCTCCTCGGTTCCTGTCAAGAGCATTATGTTGGGGGTTGGAGAGACGGCTCAGAGGTTAAGAGCTCTCGCTGGAGAGGTGGCTCAGCTGTTAAGAGCGCTTGCTGCCTTTGCAGAGGAATAGACTTTGGTTCTTAGCACATACATAGGGTGACTACAGCCTTCAGAAGCTCCCACTCTGGGGGGTGTCTGAAGCCTCTGATCTCCAAGGGCACCTACACGCAGGTGCACATACCCCATCCCCACATTTTTTTTTTCCTGTTGGTTTGTTTTGTTTTTTGAGACAGGGTTTCTCTGTGTTTCCCTGGTTATCCTGAAACTTGCCCTGTAGACCAGGCTGGCCTTGAACTCTTTTTTTTAAAAATAAAGTATTACGTGGGAAATGAGAGCGGAGGTAGGAGGCAGTGGTTGGGAGGCCATTGCACTGTTCTGGGTGAGAGGTGACAGCGGCTTACGGAGTGGCCATCTTGCTTGCGATAGGGTCAGTCTCTTGACAGTTTGTGAAGGGCTGTCCC